CCCTCCTGGATAATGTAACTTCCCCCCCCCTGTTTACGCCAGAAAAGGGCAGTGACCTGTATGGACCCAGCGCAGCCATAAAAGGAGGCCCCAAGCCTCAGGTAGTCAGTCCTTAGTTAGTCTTTGTTTCAGCCCCAGTCCGCTAGACGCTCCGATAGAGGTAAACCCTTTCCTGCCAGAAATCTCCTCGTCCCATTCCTTCTTGACGTTCAGACGCTTCTTAGTGGAATCTCTGTTTGCTTATTTCACTTTTGGCCCAGCTGTGTCGCCTTCCACAACGACTGCACGGTAGAGTTGACATCGAGGTTCGTCTAGCATCAGGTAACACTGGTCCCAGAGGTCCCAAGATATCACATATATACTTTTAAAACCCTCCCTTTTAACCATATATATGTTATAAAAATGAATAAAAAAGATTGAATGAGATTTTCTGTTGATTTTGGAATTGTTGTGATTATCTTGATTTTGGTTATCTTGAGAATTAAGCTATGGCGGTGCAGTCGTGGTTAAAATCTTGAAAGCATAATAACAAAAATGATCTTGATAAGAGATTGTTTTAATCGAGTTAAAGTAATATATAAGAACATAATTTGATTAAAGTACTACCTGGCTTAAGGCGTAAGAATAAAAAAATGAAAAGCTTATTTACATAATGTACAAATTTTTTGAGCCGATCAACGGGGAACAACAACAATGAGAATTTTTAGAGAAAGCGTGACCTCTGGCGGTCGATTTAAACAGAGTATTTGTATCTATAAAATATATTTTTAAATAAAGCAATACCTTAATTTAACATTTCAAATAATACCTTTATATAACATTTCCCTCCTGTGAAAAGAGTAATATGGGCAGAGAGAAAAGTGAAAAAAATATAGTTTAAAAAAAAAGATAAAATGATGATAAAGAGAATAAAGTGAGAGGTGATATTGCATGATCATATTGGCTTGTTGTGAGCCAATAGATTGGAAAAGACATGAGAAAAATGATATGTGCAATAATTATAAAAATGTTGGCTGATAAAGAGTGAAAATGTGGCAAAGAGAAAAAAATAAATTGGTGTTCCATCATCGTATTGGCTTATGATGAACCTATAGATAGGGAAGATAAATGAGAAAATTGACCCATTATAAGAATGAAGAAAGAAAATAAAATGCATGATTATTAAAAAGTGAGAAATAAAAAGGTGATATTCCATGATCATATTGGCTTGTTGTGAACCAATAGATTGGAAAAGACAAGGATAAAAATGATACACATAATATTAGAAATGTGGAAGAAAAATAAAATGAATGAAAATTACAAAAGTGAAATTAAAAGGTGGTTTTCCTAGATCATATTGGCTTGTTGTGAACCAATAGATTGGAAATAGACAAAATAAATGCACATATAATAAAAAATGAGGAAGGAAATAAAATGAATTATAATTACAAAAGTATATGAATGAAAAATTATGAAGAACATGGAAAACAATATGAAAATAATTAAATTTGTAAAGGATAGGTGGAAACATTGGATGATTATAAGAAAAAGGCATTTGTGAAAAACAATAAGTTGAGACAGAGTTTATGTACAAAAGGCAAATGTAAAAACAAGGAATGGATATGTAAAGATAAATGAATCAATGGTAAGAATAAAGAGTGGTCACTTGAAGAAAAAAGAATCAAGGTGGTTAAAAATAAAGAGCTAAAATTTATATATGTTGGTAGCGCTAAATTTGCATATTTGTTAGGTGATATAAGAAATGATGGAAATAATTGTGTTATCAAAATAAAATAAAAAAGGAAAGGTTGAAATATGTTAAACAATGAAAAATATTAGCTAATTATTTAAAAGATATTGATAGTGTAAGACAATGTAATTTATTATTGTTGTTGTTTTCTTGGCCGACTGTTTTACATATGGTGTTTAAAACTGATATAGTGTTAATAGTTTAAATTATTTGAAAATGTTTCAAAAGTAAAATATGTAATGGGAGATATATTAGCTAATTTACATATATTTAAGTTTACAATGTAAAATTATGACATGATATAAAAGTAATTTTTGGTGAAAATGGGCTAAATTATTTGCACAAATTTAAATTTAAAGATAAAAAATGGCATGAGGTATATTATGGCATTTAGGAGCTAACTATACAAAGGAAAACTAAGGATTAAAGGGTGTGTGGTATTAAAATGGCAAAAAGAGCTATGGAAAAATTGATATCTAAAAATGATTTGACAAAAGGAATATATCTCTAAATATGCGAATGAAAACTATTGAGAAGCATGGGTGAGAATTAAAAAAGTGGATATTAGGTAAATTATGTAAAAGGTAGTTACAAAGTACCTTGGATGACGGGCTGGATTTGAAGATCTCGGGAGATGACTGGCGTTGAGCGGAAGATGTGATGGCTGGAGATGAAAGGGAGAAGGCGATGACTTGTTGAAGCTATGGTTGTTTGTTGAGAAGGCTATGGCTGTTTGTGGAGAATGCAATGTTTGCTTGTGGAGAATGCTATGTTTTCTTGTGGAGATGACTATGGTTTCTTGCGGAGTAGCTATGTTTGCTTGCGGAGAGTGCTATGTTTGCTTGTGGAGAATGCTATGTTTTCTTGTGGAGAATGCTATGTTTTCTTGTGGAGATGACTATGGTTTCTTGCGGAGAATGCTATGTTTTCTTGTGGAGATGACTATGTTTACTTGTGAAGAAGGCCATGTTTGCCTGTATTGGGCTACGATTGGGGTAGGTTATTTCTTGTTGAATTGGACTATGTTTGATTAGGGATGGCTATGTTCGCTTGAATTGGTCTATGTCTTTTTAAAGTAGGTTATTTTTGGTTGAAATGAGCTATTTTTGATTGAAATGAACTATTTTTGATTGGGAAAGCTATTTTTGATTGGAAGATTTGCATATTTGAATTTGAAAAATTTTGCTTTTGGCATTTTGAACACACAGGTAAATATACTGCCGGCTTATATAATATATAAAAAAAGATTTTCTGCTGTATTTTAGATCATGTTGAGGATTATAGTAATGCAGTTATTTGTTGGTTCTTTTTGGTACTAAATAGTATTGGTAATGCAGTCGTGGCCAGAATCTTGAAAGTAAAATAATAAAATAAGTTTTGATAAGAGATTGTTTTAATTGAGCTTTAGGATAAGCATAATTTGATAAAAGTACTGCCTGGCTTAAGGCGTAAGAATAAATAAAACAAAATATTATTTACATAATTACAAACATGTTTGAGCCGACCAACGGGGAACAACAACGAGTTTTTATAGTGGAAGCATGACCTCTGGCGGTCGATTTAGCAGAGTATTTTATCTATGAAATATAATTTTAAATAAAATAATACTTTAATATAACATAATTTTAAATAAAATATTTTAATATAACATATATAGTTTTTTTTCCTTAATACCTTTTTTTAAATCTTATATATATATATATATATATATGCGTGATTCTATTAGGTAATTTTTCTTTCTTTTTAATAAATATACCTGATGTACATTGAAATATTATTTTATTGGTCTAAATAAAAATTTGTTTAGCCAAAAAATGATTGGTTAATTTCCCCATCAACATTATTGCTAGCCGGCACAGCTTTAGGTCTCTACATGTGCCATAGAGGAATAAATTTGTGGTCTGGTTTTCTGCAGCCACTGGCGCCCTAATATTTGGACATGTAGAGATCTGGAAATAGTTTATTTAATGACAACAACGATAAAAACATAAAAAATCATCCCGATTTTAACACTGGCGCCCAAAGCGTGGCATAATTATATTTATAATTTTCTTCTTCTATTATATTAAAAGTATGAAATTATCACGATTTTAACATATTTGTGAAAATTTACATTTTTATATTTTAAAAACACACAAAGTTTGGAGCGGGACGTTTCACAAGAGTGACATCCACGGCGCCAATTTATAATTGTGTGTAACGAATAGTATTTGAATAAAAATAATTAATCGAGTAAAACCCGGGCGTTGCCCGGGTTATTCAGCTAATTGATTATAAATGTTCTGCCCTCCAGGAACCTGGTTTATAAAAAAAAACTCTCTTATAAATGTTGATTTTGTGCATGTGCCTTAAATAAATTGCTGTGTCATTCTGAAGTTTGTCTTTCCTAATTTTCTACGTTACAATATATATAGTCTGTTTGGTTCATACTTATGGATGATCAATGTCTATATCACTCCTGGGTAGCTGGCCCTATTCATCTCATCAATTGATTTAAATCTCCTAGACATTAATCAAATAAATACTACAGGTTTCTGGAGATGAGTTTCTTTTATTAAACGTAATTACGTAATTAAACCGGGGCTCGGTGGAAGGATGATCTAAACCATTGGTTTTCAACCGCTACGACCTGGGATCGAATCCCACATTGGGTACTTTTTTATAATTAAAAAAAATGCTCCAATGGCCCCTGATTCTTGTGAAATTCCAACCCCACCAGCGAGTGCAAGTAACCAAACAAGGACTCTGGCACATTTGTAAATGCAAAAGTCGAACTGCTTTTCACATGTGTAGACATGTAGTGTACTTACAGTAAAAGCTCTCGCTAACTACCCAACATGATAAATGTAATCTTGAGATTTCGGGCATCTCTCCCCTTCTACAGAAGTACATAGAAACATATAAACGCCGTTATGTTTCTATGTACTCCTGTAGAAGGGCAGAGATGCCTGAAAGCTCGAAATTACGTTTAATGAAGCTAAAGAAACTCATATCCAGAAACCTGTACAATTTATCTCGTATTTGATTTGTTATTCTACTCACCTGAAGATGTTTTCAAACGGTATGATTCCATCTTCTAACTAGAAACATAAATTAGCAAATCAATTTAACTATTAAGTGTAAAATAACTGCAATAGATTTTCGATTTAAGACTGAGCCACGGCTATCGGCTATCTCTTGGTAGATGTTGACTTTGAAATATAGGGAATGGAACCTGGTGATGATGATAAAATACCGAATTTAAGACGAACTAAGACTTCCAGTGTTGCCTACGGCCATACCACATTGAAAACACCGGTTCTCGTCTGATCACCGAAGTTAAGCAATGTCGGGCCTGGTCAGTACTTGGGAGGGTGACCACCTGGGAACACCGGGTGCTGTAGGCTATTACCTTTTGTTGGGGCTTCAAAATCGCATCTATTTTGGTTAGCAGCCTAGTAGATAAAGATATTTCCTGACTTCCTCCGGTACCGTGGCTCGGTCACTTTACCAAAATGTAAGAAACTTACTGGAAGAAAGTATCCCGATAATTCATCTTCATCAAATCCAAGATTGTGTAGACTGCAACAAATAAATTTATTAGGAAGGGAGTGAAATTGTTTACAATTATAATGGTAATATTGTGTGTATGCCTTTTGTATGCATATTCTATTAAATTTGGCCTCCAATCTCTTTACTTGAATTAAATAGAAGCACCTAGTACAGGGGTCGTCAAACTTTTGAGTCAGAAGAGTCAAAAATTACAATTTACAAAGTTTTTAAAGATCCACAAAATGTTTTCTTGCCATCAATAAATAGTACTCGAATAATTATTTTTGCGTATGGAACTATATAAAGAGCCGCAGCTTCACATCCAAAGAGCCGCATGTGGCTCGCAAGCCGCAGTTTGTCGACCCCTGGTCTAGAACCATTTTAGTAGGTCGTTGAGGTACAGTCTACACCAAGCTGATGAAGACCAAGAGCCTGACACGTGTGTTCGTGGTTGGATTTTCTTGTTAGTGAAATAAAATATTTGTGTAAATTTCTGTAAATAAAAAAACACCCTTAGTTGGAATTTTCTCCGATAGATTGTAGAACGCAATCAGAAACGTTCAGTTGTAGGATCAGGAGTAGCTTTTCCATAATGAAATATATCCGTCGGATAATGCTACCACATCTAAAAATTTTATTCTCTAAACAAATCACATTTCTCACCACGGAATCAGAAACATCAAGTCTTCAAATTGATACGATATAAGTGAAATATGTTTTTTTTTAATATCGTTTTTTTTTTAATTAAAAGAAAGAAAATGCGGGATTCGATCCCTTCCACAGACCCCCGTTATATATATTGCGTATGATATTGTTTTTTACAGCACAATACAACAATGTTGGCAAGTTTCTCTAGAGTGGAATGTCGAGGTGACGAATCCACTCCAGGGCCTCCTCTGTGCACCGGACCCCCGTTGTCTATAATGTATGTTGTGTAATAATAAATGTAAGAAAAATGTCAGAAAATTGTGTTACTTACCCAAATTCAGGATCGAAGTAGTCTGCAGACTGAAACAGACAAAAGCATATTCAATAGCAAGTTTACCACAAATGGGCGATGATTTTTAGTCGAAAACTCTCAATCTTACAATTGTATTTTAGCCCTTTAAATTAAATATTGAATCGTATCTTTTTTTAAATATCTACAATAAAATCTTCACCCAAATTTGCAAAACAAATTCTACCTGCGGTAAATTTGCGAACATTTTGAAGATAGTGTAACAAATTGTGTCGCGGTCTCATGCAATTCTGGCCTTAACTACCCGTTTCATGATTTTTCAGGATGCTTGAATGACCAGTTTTTCGTCGTTGAGGTACAGCTTGCACCACGCTGATGAGGGCCAACAGCCCGAAACGCGTCCGTGGTTAGCTTTTCTTGATTAATCAAGAATGGGTATTTGGTCAATTCTGGAATAATTAAAAATCAACGAGAATAGTTGATATTTATTCCGATAGATGGCGCAAGCCATCAGCAACTTTCAGTTGCACGATAAGGAGATGCCTTTTTCATAAAGTATTTATTATTTTATTAACAGAGTATATTTTTTTATGTTGATATTTTGCTACTCTGTAAACTTCTCTCTTTACTTATCTTTGTTTGTTCTTGCCTTAAATAAATTGCTGTGTCATCCTGAAGTTTGTCTTTTTGTTAGCAGCCCCGTAAATAAAGATATTTCAAAAATTTGTCTTTCTCTGATTTTCCACGTGGGAATAGTGATGAGACTAACGGGTATGTAAAGATAGATAATAAATTATTGTTCTATAAGTAGGTCTTAAGATATACCTTGGTAACGAATAAAGATCAACACATGTATGTGAGTCAGTTTAATCTGATTTCTATCCTTAAAATTCATATCTGTAAAATATATAACAAAGAGGAGTTAAGAGTGGTAGAGATAAGACAACACCTATTTCTTAACCCTATCAATAACTACAGCAATGATTTTTCATATTAGAATAGTATTATTTACATAGCAATAACGCGTCATCTATATAATACAAATGAAAACACCAAAACACGAATGTTTCTTTTCACAAATATATCAAACTTCTGCTCTCCTTACTTCGATGAAAAAAATAAATTGGCGCGTTATTGCTATGTAATAATTTATGCCTAACTGGCCTTGTTCTTATTGTTTGTGGAAGAGCATTGCTCGATGCAAATATTTATATGTATATCTACTGTCCTGAAAGCTTATGTTCATAGTTTGCTTAAATACTATTTCTAAGATTCACCCTTCAGTGTAGAATATAAAAGTAGAATGATCCAATACAGTATTAGAGATCTAAAGAAGCGGTCTGATAGATTAAATTGGCGAAACCGCTGGGAGGGTTCACTACTGATGAGCCAAGCCCTCCGAATATATTTTTTTTATCGCCGTAAGGAGAGTAGAAGTTTGATTTATTTGTGAAAAGAAACATTCGCGTTTTGGTGTTTTCATTTGTAATAATATTATTTATAAAGCAATAACGCGCTATTTCTAAATAAAGCGCACGAATGTTTCTTTAACAAATAAAACAAATTTCTACTGACCTTACTGCGATAAAAAAAAATAAATGGAAGCTTGACTCATCAGTGGTGAACCCTCCCAGCAGTGTTTCGACAATTCAATCTACCAGACCGCTTCTCAGAGCTTTAATACTGTATTGGACGATTCAGCTTATATAGGCAACAATGACGGCTTAGTTATGGTATTGTATCAAACCAAGGACATAAGCCTTTTTTTTTCTAAAAATACCATAACCAAGATTCTACAGTGTAGCATATAAAAGCAGAATGATCCAATACAGTATTAAAGCTCTAAAAGTGGTCTGGTGGATTGAATTGGCGAAACCGCTGGGAGGATTCATAACTGATGAGCTAAGCTCTCCCACAGTTTTCATCGCAGTAAGGATAGTAGAAGTTTGTTTTTTTATTCAAAAAGAAACATTCGTGCATTAGGTGTAATTCTATTTCTTATTAAAATATTGTCAAATAGCTCCATCCAGATGGGACAACTGTCAATCATCCCTGGACCCCGGGAAGGGGGAAGCTGATATGTAAATAAGGAAAACGGGACGGTGGCTAACGCCGTTCATTAGGATTAACTTTTAACTTGGGTAAGTCGTACAAAACTCTCTCTCCCAATACTCCTTATACTCCATATACTCCTTATAATAAATTAATTATCCCCAAACTTGCCCTTGCTTTATTTTATCTCCGCGACATATTTTGGTGGAGACGCTGGGTAGCGTGACGGAACTTCGAAGAAGTCGACGTCTACAGGGACGTGAACCAATTCTTCAACCTTTGCCACAACGAATAGAAATGGAAGACGACCACAGACCTACTGTTAGCGGATCCTACCTCCCTTGTCAGCGCCAACGAGATCCTTCTACCTTTTCGGGAGATGGGAATATAAACCCTGGACAATGGTTGAAAGAGTACGAGAGAGTGTCGAAGTACAACAGATGGGACGAGACCATGAAGCTTGCCAACGTCGTATTTTACTTGAACGGAACTGCTGGAAGGTGGTTTGATAATAACGAAGAATCACTCAACTCGTGGAGAAGCTTTGAAGACGCATTCCGCGGTGTGTTCGGACTGCAGGAGGATTCTGCTCGACGCGCCGAGGAAGTTCTGAAGTCAAGAGCACAGAAGGCCGAGGAATCCAGCGAGTCATACATCCAGGAGATTCTTAGTCTCTGCCACCAGGTGAACCCTCGCATGGAAGAAAGTGAGATAGTTGCTCACATTATAAAGGGAATTTCGGAAGACACATACCAGGTATTGGTGGCGAAAGACATACAGACAGTAGATGAGATCCTGAAGTTTTGTCGTCATCTGACAACCGTCAAGCAGCGCAGGATCGGCCGTACGAAATTCGCCAGGTTGTCAAACGTAATGCCCATTTCGTGTGTTGACGACTCAGACGACTTGGCCGGCTTAATTCGCCGCATCGTTAGAGAAGAGATACAAAAGGTTTTCTCAGCACCTGAAGTGGTCAATCCTCTCCGAGAGGTGAACGCCCTGGAACAGACTGTGAGGGAAGAGGTCAGCCGTGCTCTACAACCTACCAGACCACAAGTCAACGTGGTACAACAACAACCACGAACGCCCTATTATAATATCGACCGACCAACCCAACCCAGGAAGACGGAACATTGGAGAACCTACGACGACAAACCTATCTGCTTCCACTGCGGACGACCCGGACATGTCGTCCGTTATTGTAGGGAACGACGGCAGGTCTTCGCTGAAGCCAGGTCAAGGAATGGCGGAGAAGGAAGAAATGTTGGATTTTCGAGTCGACCCCCGAGATATGACGCCGACGACGACTATGTAACGCCCCAAACCTCGACGTACTTCTACCGGAGCTCTTCCCCACATCCGAGCCGCGCAAGATCGCCAGCCCGAAGACAATCCCAGTCGCCAGCCCGTCGTTTCAGCCGTTCTCCCATGCCTCAGAATGTGAAAAACTAAGTGGAGCGGCTTCTAACGGGGGTGAGGTCGCCATTGAGGAAAATCCTCCAGAGTATATCGCCGCTAAATTAAAAGAAAATTTTGTTATGGTCGAAATAAATGGACGCAAAATTAAAGCATTGGTGGATTCAGGAGCCGACTTTTCTGTTATTTCAGACAAATTTCGACGCGAACTAAAGACACCTCTCTTCAAAGAACCAGGTCCCATTCTTAAAGCCGCAAATAAAAATTTAATAGAGACCCTAGGAAAATGTGTCCTGAACATAGAAGTTAATGGTCTGAAGATATCCTTTGAATTCGTTGTTATGGTGGAATGCAGCCATGACATCATATTCGGATGGGACTTCTTCAAGGCCACCGAAGCCGTCATTGATTGTGGCAGAAATGAACTCC